AAATTTGTGGAAAAATCGGCCGATTTCGTGAGATGTTCACGGGAGAAAAGTCAGAATTCGGAGAAAAATCGGCCGATTTCGCGGGCTTGTAGCGAAAAAAAGTCAAATTTCGAAGGATTTTCAGGGGCAAATTCTTAGAAAAATCAGCCGATTTCACGGGAAATTTCGGGGGAAAACTTCGCCAAGAAACAATCAGTAAAAAACAGCCGATTTCGCTGGATTTTTTTCGGCAAATTTCGCTAAAATCGATCAATTTTGCGTCGATATGACCAGCGTTGTTTAACGTTTTTTTAACAGGGATAATCATTTGCTCTTTCAACAACAGTTCGCTCGAGAAATGAGCGAATGCTGAAGCTATTAACATTATGGTTAGTGCCCAGTTTTTCGCAACGTTCATCTAAAACGCCTGGTAGTTTTGGGACGTTGTTTACTCGTTGCAGTGACGAAGTTTCAAGATAAATTTGGACGTTTGGGGTGAATAAAAAAGGTCTAATAGCCAAGATAAGTATTAAATATGTTTTGCCGACATGTATTTGGAAATATTTCTGGCGTATTTCGCGGTATTTTGCGTTTTTTGGGGAATTTCGCGGGATTTCGCGGAAATGCCTGAATTTCGCGGGTCCGCGACCGCGCGAAATATCAGAAGCCCTGTATCTTCGAGTGTTTAAGAATATATATGGAGATCTATGTAAATAAGGAGGGCAGCCAGGGTTAGAAATTATTTTTGAATGTTGACAGGCCAAACAAATTTAAGCTTGGTCATGTCTAGTTACTAACCGGTCAAAATAAATTATTACCTGCCAAACAAATTTTAGCTCGGACCGATCAAAACACAGTAAAAACTCGTAGGTAAGAACCTGGATTTTCCCATTGCATTAACAGGTACGTTCTTACAAAAATAGTTATTGGCAAAAAATTTGTCTATTTTTCTAAAATGAAAAGGTTCTTATTTTCTGCAGGAAAAAAAACATTGCAGCTTATGTCTCCCAAAGAGGTTCACCTGAATATTTTCCAGGTGTATAGAATTTTTTTTATAGATTTGAGAAAATAAAGATGTGTGTCAAATATTGGGCTAAACAGGTTCTTGTATAAAGCCTGGGGCCTAATTATAACTGGCAAGTTTAGCCAAACAGGTTCCTAAAAACCAGGTTCTTAGTCACAGCTAGGTTTTTACTGTATTGAAGACATTGTACTTTGCAGTAATAGCCAAATTAAGACAAAAATTATGTGATCGTAAATGCTCAAAAACTTCTTGTGTTGAGAGATGGGGAAATATTATAAACCAGTTTTGAGTGTGGTTATCAAGTTGTTCATTCATTGGAGGGTACAGTGTAGTAAATAATATTTCCAGGAATATTGTCAAGCTCAGCTCGTTTATTCTTAAAAAAAATTCCCCATAAGAGTTAAACCAGAAATCACAACTTTTGGCTCAGTATTGTTCTGACATGTTTTCTTTGAACAATAGGTGTATGTAGGGATGAGGGAAAATTCTTGCCCAACTAAAGATTTTATCTTATCTTCTTAGCCATGGAAGAACATGAAAGTCAGGTCCTCCACGTTGAATGTAGCATGGAATGCTCTCTGCACTGGTGAACAAGAGCAAAGTCACTCAGCAGGTACTGATATAGTTCATGGTAGATGGTATTTATTATAGAATTGCATAATTGAGTAAAATCACGCATTCTGATTGGTTAACGAAGAGAGGTATTCAGTGTGGAATTGTGAGTTGAAAACGAGGCTAAGGGATGTTTTTTCGCATCTACGTAACAACTATCGTCAAATTGTAACTCAACAACTGCAAAAAAGGTTTTCTACAATGTCATTTTAAAATGTTTTCAAAATCATTGTCACCTTTCGTATATCCTTTCTTAACATACAGAAATGTCGCCTGGTCCTCCACCTACTGTTCCAACCTAAACTGTATTTACCTTTTGCAAAAGCGTCTAGTGCGGCTCATAACAAAAGCTCACTATCTAGCAAATACCGCCCCTTTGTTTAGCCAGCTTAAAGTCCTTGACATATTTAGTATTAATTTATTTTCTGTCACTACTTTTATGTATTGTTATCACCATAATCTTTTGCCTAGTAGCTTTCGTGACTTGTTCTTAAGTAGTAATCTGAAGTCCATCAATACCAAAATTCGACTGGCCTCTCAGTATAGACCTCATTTTTGTAGATCAAATATAAAGCAATTCAGCATCCTTTACCGAGGACCTAAAATCTGGAATTCGTTGCCTGTTTCACTAATTAGCTCTCCTTCTATATTTGTTGTTAAAAAAAAAATTTAAAGAATTATCTCACTGATAGCCGATCTGTCGCTTAATTTTCTGATCTTGCTCACTCTGCACTCAGCCATGAATTTAGTTCTCTAGGTAGTTGAAGGAAGCCTATTAATATAAGCTTCAAGCTTCGTTAGACTTCCTTGTCACATTAAATTTACAATTTAATTAACACCTTTTGTTTATGTTGTATAAGGTTTTGTGAGTGACTAAATAAATAAATAGTTAAAAACAAACAAAAGCATTTTTTAAAGTGATCCGGAGGTTCTTCCTTGTTTTGAACTAAACTACAAATTCTTGGAGAGGTATAAAAAACCCCTTTCGCTAGCGACAATGAGAAAACAAGAAAATCCTGTGAACACAGCCCAGAAAATAACAAGCCAAATTCAAACAAACAAAACGGAGAAGCGACAATGGAGGAAGTGCCAGGGTCAATTGTCACATATACAGAAGAAGAAATAAATACCTTCAAAGATCACATTGTCCCTGAAAACACGAAAAAGAGTACGCTACTTGCATTCATCCTGAATCGTGGTACTTAGAAAAGTACAAAACAGAGCTGAACTTGAACAGCATTTTTAAAACATTTCAAGGTACTTACCTTATATCAATCGCAACGTTAAACTTTCAGTGCTTTGCCTTGGACACTTCATTTCTTTCAGTTTTGCTACCGAAGAGGTAAAAGGTGTAAATTATTTTCCTTCGCGAGCAAATGACCAATTTGAAAAAGGATGTTATAGATAACCGGCTTGTAAATTCAGTGAAATACCTCTATTTATCCTTACAATTAGTGTGAAGCTTGTTCATGTGTAAAAAAGTTTGAAAACAAATGTAAAAACAAGCACAAGGTACAAAAAAAGTTGTCAAAGGTTCAAACGTGTATGACTGACCTTGCTTCCTATTCGCTAACGCAATGACAGGTTTGACATTTGACTTTGAAATGGCTTTCTGGTGCGCGTGCTCAGGATAAAAACAAACAATATTATTGGTGTTTTCTTTTTTTTCTGATTTTTATTTGATTGTGCGATTCAAGGAAAATCCATTACCTGACTCGTGAATTCCACGTTAAATTGCACTTGAAAACCGATATCGGTTTTCGTGTGCAATTTAACGTGGAATTCCCTCGTCAGGTAATGAATTTTCCTATAAAACTTACTAGTATACGTGGAAAAATTTCTTGAATCAGATTGGCTTAGAGCAGTGCAGTTTTTAGTAAACACAGTACAAAAACAAGGAAACATAATGCAAAAATAAGGAAATAAAGTGCGAATTTCTCAGAGAATGAAAACCTGTGATTGGCTAATAAACAATCAGTGTTCTCCAGAAGCGCGGGCAACTGGCAGTTTCTCTGGGAACTCTTTTCCAAAGTGCCAGCTACTCTTATGAGTCAAAACATAAAAAAAACTGTCTGTAACTTTTATCTTCAATTTTTCGTAAGTTCCATTTTTTTCCGCGGAGGATAAAACGGCACCCGAAGCAAATTGTGTTAATTCATTTCTTAGCATACTAGAACATGCAATTTCATCGGGAAAATAACAAACAAACAAAAAAGCCACAAGAGCTTGTTTGAAAGTTTATCGAAAAACACATGAAAATACATGGAACTAAGGTGCCTTGAACAGCTACAAAAGAAGACAGATGTTGTTTATTCATGGTTGCGAAGCCACTCGTTGAGGCACTTGCCGATAGATAGCTGCGGCTTGTTTATCGGACATGAAGAATATAAATCACAAGCAACTAGAATACACGCTATGCAGCCATTCACTACAGCAATCGAGGCGTCAGTAAAGCTTCTTTTCTTGTTCAGCAAAACCAGCTTGTGGCTTCAAACAACGTCATAACAAGCGACCAAGGTAATAGTTTTCTCCGTTGTTCTTACTTTTGTAACTGCTCCAAAAATCCAAATTCACAGTAATTTTGATGGCTGTTAAGAATTGTTTTTCTTCACATTATCTGCCAGGTTTTTTTAGCTGTCCTGCTGTGTAAAATCCTAGAATCTCGATGAGGTTTTAAAAGTGTTCATCTTTACAATGTTTGGATTTTTCATTCATCCAGTCCAGGCGAGTCGGTTCATGCGTTGACAGTTCTGATAGACATGTGACATGTGAATAGCGGAACTCCCTTGTCTTTTCTGGTTTGTTCTAACAAGATTCAAAGGGATTTTGTGGGCGTTTTTAATAAAATAATTATTCCACTTGCGCTTGTTGGATGAGATGATTATTGCCAACTCGGCGCTATGCGTCTCGTTGGCTATTTTCCATCTCATATCCAACGTGCCCTCGTGGAATAATTGTTAATTATAAAATAACTAAGATAGTACGTGCATTCTGATTGGTTAAAAACCAATAGTTTATTGTGCCGGTAAAATCATAGAAAACTGAAACATGCTTTAAAGTTATTTTATAAAAGTAAAAGACCACATTTTCTAAAGGTTTGCTGGTGTGATAACCCACTTGGGATGTTGGGAGAAGACTGGAAAAGCTTGTAAACCACCAGCTTAACTTCTCAGATCTCTGGGCTTAATGCCCCCAAACCCCTCCCTTAGATACAGTACTCTCGCTTTATCAGTGCTTGGTGTCAGGCACCAGTTTCTTTGCTTTGGGAGCTGGCTACTCTAAAACTTCTGGATAACACTGAACAATAGAAATATATAAGAACCAATCAGCCTCAGGTGTCACAATCTGCTTGCCCAACTTATTAAGATTATATCTTATCTTCTTAGCCATAGAAGAACATGAAAGTGAAGTCCTCCAACTTGAATGTAGCATGGAAAGCTCTCTGCCAGGTGAACAAGAGCAAAGTCATTCAGCAGGTACTGATATACTGGTAGTTGTTTATGGTAGATGGTATTTTATTATGAAAGTTAATAATATACATGAAAAAATTTCTCTGTGAATTTGATTGGCATAGAGCAGTGTACTTTTTAGTAAACACAATGCAAAAACAAGGAAACATAAGGCAAAAAGAAAGAAATACAATGCAAATTTATCAGAGAATGAAAAACTGTGATTGGGCCAATAAACAATAGAAATTTATCAGAACTAATTAAGTGCCACAATTTGCTGGTGGGAAGCATGTATACTTTTAAAACTTCCCCCTTTTTGGTGTAATTAATTATGCTCTGTTGTCTTACCTAAGTAATCTTTCCTTTTTCTTGTAACACTTTTTTTCTCAATATTTTATTTTATGAATTTACCTGATTATTTTTATTTATTTATTCATTGTGGGTTGTTGTTGTTTTTTTTTCATTTTTGTAACCAAGATTTTGAAATTAATAAAGGTGTGGGTGGGCGTGTGTGTGTAACAAATAAAAATGTTAAAACTTTCATATATATATTTTTTACATGGACTCAAAAGAGCAGCTATATAATCAGTGATTTTGTTACCTCTGCATTCTATCTATGTTCCTGACACATAAAAATCGCCAAAGACATAAAATAATTCATGGATATATTGATCTGAACGTGTGTATGTAGAAATATCCCGTACGTGTAATTTCTGTGGCAGTTATGGTTGTTGTTTAGTGATGCATATTTGTTTTAGCCTTTGTTGACTTCTGCTTTAAAATAGAAGAACTATATTTTAATTTCAGTATACTATAATACAGAGTTTTGGAGTGTGTCTTCAGATTAACTGTCTGTGGCTGGTACATAAAGGCCCAAACATTTTCCATTTTGGACTCATTTTTTTTAACTGGGACTCATTGGTTCTGGACTGGGACTCATGATTTCTCACAAGATGAGTCCCAGAATTCATCATATTTATTTGTAACAAAAACACTGTATAATTCATTGATTAGACCTTTTGTCATGTAATTCAAGTGTTGTTGTTGTGGTAAACATGACAAGTCATCATGTCTGTACTTAATTCTCCATGACTGGATTGTAGGATTTTTGTTCTGTTTGTATTGGATCGTGCATTATTATTATGGGAAAACTTACCTTAGGGTTGTATTACTTTGACTAGGACAAAGTTAAAATACATTGAATTCTCATAGAGATAATTATTTTTTGGATTATAATAATGAGTTCATTGGTTGGGTCACTCCCATTATATTTGATGACTGGTTTATGAAATATCAGCACTTAGAAAATGATTGTCAAGGTTGTTGTATTATCCGAAGTTTCAAAAGTAGAAATATTGTGTATTTTCTATTTGAAATCAAGTTTTGAGAACACTTCCACAGATACAGCTTTATAATAGTAATTCTTGTACAGTTATACAAGCATACAGTACTAGGGTGCGAAGAAAAGGAGGTCAGTTCTGTGCTTGTTTTTCGGGAAGGCTGTAGCTTGCATCTGTTAGCCCAAGAATCACAACTCTATTATCCCTCAGGCAAGATAAAAAATAGAATCCACTAGCCCCATAGCTTATATGAATTGTGTAGTTGGTTAATACAAATAATTCATTTACTAGGAGAAGAGTTGGAACAACACACTCCTGCAGTAGAAAATGGCCCAATTGAGGGAGCAAGCAATGTGCAGGAAACACAGCAACCTCTTCCAGAAGTAAATAATAGTAGCCACTTAGAAGATGACCGCCTAATTGCTAGAGCAAGGGCAGTTGGTGTGGACTATGAGTTTCCAAAGCCTGGTGAAGTGGAAACGGAGGATGACAGAAGAAAAGATTTTATTTACTTGAATCAAGTCCATTCCTTTTTCTCTCCAACAACAATGATATATTAAGAAACATTGTTATTATAGCTGGAAATTTCTTTCCAACCATGTGCACACTCATTGGTTATTTCAATGTCACCTGACATCTAACAATGAAACTTTTTGGTGCCAATATTCTCTAAGCAGGCAACATCGCAAAAATCATTCACATCAGAGCGTAACAGTGCACTATTACCCGTGAATGACCAACAACTGACCTTCCAGGGAGGTTTAATGAATTTCCATGCAGCTATAAATTTTTAAAATATTAACATCACAAATCACTTAAAGACTTGGCCCATGGGAAACAGTTAATTTTGTTTTCCAAGAATCTAAATATTTCCCAGCACCATTCTCATTAGTTACTTCGAGGTCACATGACATCTAACTGTTTCCCACCACAATCTCTGAGGAATTGCCAGGCTAATTGACCAGCTGCGGTGGAAATTGGAGAATGACTATATGAATGGTTAGGTACGTTAGGTACAGTGCCAAAGTTGCATTGATAACTGTGGTGATCTTCCCTGAATTTATTTCTTCATTCTGCATTGCCAGTATATGAAATTAATGTATTTATTATACCATATATAACTTTGTTGTGTGAATTCACCTTGGATAAGTTAATCTTTTCTTGTGCTGTTTTAAAGTTATAGAGTTTTAGTTTTAGTTTCAACTTTTAAGACCTTCTTCTTTCCTGCTCTTTAAACCTTATCTAACTACGTGTTACTTTTTTCGTAGTTTTCTTTGACTCCTCTTCTTCCTTTGTCGGGAGTGGGTTGCGGCTACACGTAGGCTAGATTACATCCCGATACCGACTGGGGGGTATCAGTATTTGCAACGAGGTTATATCGTATTGTGTACCAATGTGAATAAAACGATCTTCATCATCATCATTATTATCGTTATTATTATTGTAATGAAATCGGGAGCTCCGCTTTTAGGCTTGGCTAAATCGATATATTATGTATACATGCTAAGCAGGCACTATGGAACAGTTCGATAATAAAACCGATCAGCTATCAGCCATCATTGAGTTAATGTCCATCGGATATTAAGTGTTATTGTCAGAAAAAACCGGGCAATAGCAAAAGATCGAGGTCGGCCCTTTACCTTCATGTTTTCACAGTATGAAAGTTATCTGAAAAGATGAACAACCGTGACATTTGGAGAAGTAGCCGTTTGATTTTCTTCGAGATATCACTATTTCGAGATTTTGGGACCTCCGGCGACCTAAAAAAGCACAAATTTTGGCCAAATTTGGGTGAAGTTAAAACATACTTGGTCAAACTCCCAAAAGTTCTTGTATTTTATCCATACCATCTATCGCTTCGTCAGTCGACTGGAATATGTTAAACTTCCTTTGCTTAAATACTCTATTTTCTACCTGGTGCTAAAAATCGCTCCTGAATCGTTAATGAGCGTCACCCAAATTTCAGTCATTTTCAGTTGACTGTTTTACCGAGATGCGGCAGTTTATTTCAAAAGTAAAATCATTTCTAGATGGCTTATTGTGCTGTTATCAAAATCCAGTTTGTTTAAAATTGGTATCTAGCAACAAATTGGAGAAAATGGCATGCGAAGGTACAATAATAAGCGTCAAGTATTAATATTTCCCGCCAAATTTTATAGCGCCACGTTTCGTTTTACTGTGATTGTGGCTCGTAGATATCTTAAAGTATACTTTCATGACTTCACTAAAAAGATAATTGAAAACTTTTATATCACTAATGACAAGGATTAACATTGTAAATCTCCGTTTTGATAACAATCTCCTGAATAAACAACTAAAAATGTCAAAAGCACGAAGCCCATTTTTCCCGCGAAAGTTTTAATTTATTTGTCACGCAATAGAGTAAAGCAAGACTTTATTCTCAGTTTTCAGACGGTCGCCAGAAAACAAACTTAAATCAAACAGTGCCATCAAAATGAAGACTTATCCTGATTAAGTTACTTCGTATGGACACTTTGTTTACATTTGTTGTGTTCGTTAGACTTGAGCGACCGTTAATCAAATCCGGTTCATTTACTGAACGGGAGCCTCATACGCAGTAATTTTTAGGCGGATCACGTTTTACTTATCCTCTTTGTGGGCAGGAGTGAAACGTGATCGCCCCAAAACGTGGAAGTAGACATTTGAGGTAAACTGCATCCAAACCCCTGATTGCAAGTTTCAATCGAATTTCCTTATTGTTTATTTTGGTCATTACTACAATGTTACGACTCTGGCATTGGCAGGACCTAATTTACTGAAATGGGCGTTTTAGCTTGTTCTCTTCCCTTGGGAATAGATTTTTTAAAAACTATCAAATCGATATTAAGCTTGGTTTAAAACATTCAAATAGCGTTATCTTCTGATTACGTCACGCTATGAATGTCACGCAACTGTGAAATGTAGTTCCAAAAAAATGGAACGCACCTGGAGAGCTCTAGGCTCCCCGCCCACCACACTTTAAAGAAGCATTCATGAACTGAAGCATGTTTAGGTTTCATTGAAAACATGTGCATGTTTTCACATATGCTTCCAGTGGCTCGATGAATGATTTCTTCCTTGCTGGTGACCCGGCAACTGTTAGCCGTAGGCTCTGGCATATCTCTCTTAGTTCAGCTATTTTCAGCGTGTTAAACTTGTTGGCTCTTGAAAGCTCGCATATGTTTTTGCTCCCGACTTGAAGAGGATGGCGAGGAACATTCGTGTCAAGGAGAACGGCAATGCGTAAAGTGTGTCAAGTGTCAAGAGCAATTTCAGACTCTAGCGCTTCTAGGTCTTCTTCTGCAATTTCTTCGCTGGCATCTTCTAACGGGCTTTCTTCCACCTGCTTTTGTCTTTGTACTGCTGATAGCCGCGAGAAAAAAGCTGGTTATTTGTTGCGCTGTTCTCCACTCCTCGGGAGTAAACAAAGAATGCCCATTTTCGTCCTTTGCGAACTTCATTTCACGGGAAACCTGTACTGGATCAACCTTTAATCCACTTCTTGCTCCTGCGTCAAACTTTTGCACTAAATAGGCCTTTACGCGATCTGTCATTCTTACTGGCTTTTTGGTAGTTTTTAGGGCCCATCCTTTTGG